TCTCGGCATTGGCCACCCAACCTTTATAACATCATGAATCACGGAAAGGAAAAACTTAAGTCAATACATTGATCATCTACATTAGCTAACACAGAAAAGATGGAACATAACTGCAGTTTGTTGCCGGAAGCTAAAAAGAGAAAGAAATCGACCATCTTCAACCAAGATAGTTCTCGCGCAACGTTGATTTGTTGAGCATCAGAGGCGCGGCAACAATATTGATTTGATGAAAGGAATTTTTGAAGGTGAAACAATTGCAATTCGCGTCTTTCTATTGCATGTCTCACTTACAAGAGAAATAGACTATATATAGACCATAGTTTGATTCGAAATAGAAAACCTCTTTCTAGGAAACCTATTCTAATTAGGAAACCTACTCAAAATAGGAAATCTAATTGATTTAAGAAACTTTCCTAAAATATAACTAGAAACAATATCTCACAATATCTATCAAAATATGGAAATACGAACAGACTCAAAAAGGAAACAAGTACTAACAAATTTGGTTTAATTTCTAACACTCCCCCCTAAACCAAATTCTCTTCCATCGATCATTCCAAGCAGGCTCTTGAACTTTCGAAAAGTATTGATCTTGAGAGGTTTAGTAAAAATATCTGCTACTTGATCTCCAGTCTTCACATGCAATACTTCAACTTCATTCTCTTTAACCTGTTCTCGGATGAAGTGATATCGAACATCGATATGTTTACTTCGTTCATGAAAAACTGGATTTTTCGCCAAAGCAATAGTAGAAACATTATCAACAAAAATTTCCGTTGTTTTCTTCTGCTCCATAAGAATATCTTTGAGTAGTCTTCTCAACCATATTGCATGACAAACGCATGAAGATGTAGCTACATATTCAGCTTCACATGTCGACAGAGTAACACTTGATTGCTTCTTTGATGACCACGTGAAAGCAGTGTCGCACAAGAAAAATACAAATCCCGTGGTGCTTTTTCGATCGTCGATATCTCCACCATAATCACTATCCGAATAAGCTCTAAGTTTGAAAGATTTAGAGCAATAATAGTGTAAACCATGAGAAATAGTACCTTTGATGTACCGAAGTATTCTCTTTGCAGCTTTAAGATGAGATGATTTCGGCTTCTCCATGTATCGACTAACAATTTCAACACTATACATAATATCCGGTCTCGTGCATGTCAAGTATCTCAAACTTCCAATCAAGCTTCTATAATATGTCGAATCAACATCGGCACCATCATCAAACTTCGAAAGCTTGGTTCCACACTCCATCGGTGTATTGACCGGCATACAATTCTTCATGTTGAATTTTTCAAGGATATTTTCTGCATATCCTTTTTGAGAAATAAAAATCCCATCGGCACTTTGCTTCACTTCGATACCAAGGAAATAACTCATGAGACCATTATCGGTCATCTCAAATTCTTTCACCATCGATGCCTTAAAAGCACCAATCATCGCCGAATTATTTCCTGTAAAAACAAGATCATCAACATATAAACAGACGAGTAGAATATCACCTTTTTCTTGCTTCAAATAGAGTGCATGCTCGTACGGATATTGAGAGAATCCATTCGCCTTGAAATATGCATCAATTCTGGAATTCCATGCTCTCAGTGCTTGTTTAAGCCCATATAGAGCTTTTTTCAATCTTAGCACTTTGCCTTCATAACCTTTCACAACAAACCCCTCTGGTTGTTCGACATAAATTTCTTCTTCAAGGATGCCATTCAAGAATGCTGATTTGACATCCATTTGATAAATCCACCAATTATTTTGAGCAGCAATGGAAATAATCAATCTAATCGTTTCCATGCGGATGATAGGGGCAAAAACTTCATCATAGTCGATTCCGGCTTTTTGCTTTTACCCCTTCGCTACTAATCTAGTTTTGTACCTTGTCACTTCACCTTTCTCATTCTTCTTGGCCTTGTACACCCATTTAACACCAATTGATTTCTTGTCCTTCAGAAGATTAGCAAGCTCCCATGTTTGATTTTTCTCGATGGCTTCAATTTATTCGTTCATGATTTTCCTCCACTTTTCTTCTTTGGCCGTATCATCATAAGCAAGTGGTTCATAATCTGCAAGAAGACATATAAGATGAAGCTCTTCGGTAGCTTTGTAAATTTTAGACAATCTTCTCGATCTTGGCACTAGCGGTTCATCGACACTATTTGAAGAGGATGGTGTTGATGAACTTGAATAAGATGTTGGAGAAGAAGGTGAAGGTTGATCTTTCAACTCCGTTTGATTGGAATCATCACGAACATTCGCTTCTTCTTTTGGATTTTCTTCCCACATTCCATTATCATCGAACTTGACATCTCTACTTACATATACTTTCAAAGTGTTAGGGTCAAATAATCGATAGGCTTTGGATGATGAGTCATACCCGATAAAGATGAGCTTTTTGCTCTTGTCTTCAAGTTTCGATCTTTTTTTATCCGGGACATGAGCATATGCAATGCTCCCAAAAATTCTCAAGTGCGAAACACTTGGTGTTCTCCCGGTCCATGCCTCTTGTGGAGTTGTGCCTTCAAGTCCATATTTGGGACATCTATTTTGAAGATAAACGGCACACGAAACAGCTTCAGCCCAAAGTTCCTTAGATAAATTTTTGCTCTTCAACATGCTTCGAACCATATCAAGAATGGTTCTATTTTTCCGTTCAGCCACACCGTTTTGTTGAGGAGAATACGGGGCCGTTAAGAAACGCCGAATACCATGATTTTCATAGAATTTGTTGAATATGGCTGAGGTGAATTCTCCACCATGATCAGTCCTCAAAGCCTTGATAAAATAGCCGCTTTCCTTTTCAGCCAGGTTCTTGAATTGTTTGAAAATATCAAACACTTCTGTCTTTTCTTTCAAAAAATATACCCAAGTTTTCCGAGTAAAATCATCAATAAAAGTAACAAAATATCGATGATTACCATATGAGTGAGGATTGATCGGGCCACACAAATCAGAATGAATCAACTCAAGCGGCTTCTTCGCTCGATAAGTCGCCTCCTTCGGAAAGCTAGTTCTGAAATGCTTGCCGATAACACACCCTTCACATAATTGATCGGGATGATCAATATATGGTAAGCCATAAACCATCTTCTTGCGAGAAAGCAAATTGAGTCCGCCAAAATTGAGATGGCCGAACCTCAAATGCCACAACCATGAAGGATCATCTACGCACGCATTTAGACATCGAGACATCTCACTCTTTATATTAAGAATAAACATCCTGTTCTTCGACATCTTCACATTTGCAACCAATTTATTATTCCGATCTCTCAACATAAGATTAAGATCTCTCATATGAACAGTATAACCTTTCTCCAGAAGTTGTCCCAAACTCAAGATATTACTTGACATTTTTGGAATATAATAAACATTAGTAATAAACTGACGTGCACCATTCTTTAAGCGAATCAAAATTGTACATTTCCCTTCAACAAGAATTTTAGAGTTATCACCGAATGAGATACTCCCTTTAATTGTCTCATCTAACTCGGCAAACATCTCCTTTTTTCCGCACATGTGATTGCTTGCGCCGGTATCCAAATACCACGTATCGCTTTGACCTTCTTCATCTTCTTTGAATGCCAATAAGAGAACTTGATCAGCATTATTTACCAAGTTCGCCTTTTCGTCTGGTCTGCTACTTTCTTTATTCCAGCAGTTAGAAGCATAATGGCCAAGTTTATTGCAATGATAACATCGGATTTTAGATTTATCATACCATTGGCTTGTCGAGTTCTTTCCTCTTCCACGAACACCTCTTTGGTACTGGTATCCTCCATCACTTCGAGCAGGATCTCCTCTGCTTCGTCCACAACCTCTTCCTCGAAAGTGACCTCGGCCACGACCTCGATCACAATCTTGATTTGTCCCGCGATTTTGTACGGGATCTCTTCTTTGCTCCTTCTCATCTCGTATGGTCAATTGCGTTTGGAGAACTTCCTCCACCGGTTCAATCTTTTTCTTTCTAAACCTTTCTTCACGGGCTTGTAATGAACCCATAAGTTCATCGACCGTCATGGCATCCAAGTCTTTGGATTCTTCAATTGCAACCGCAATATGATCATACTTCTTGTCTAAGGACCGAAGTATTTTCTCAACAACGCGAACATCGGAAACGTCTTCTCCGTTTCTTTTCATCTGATTAACAATTGCCAAAATTCTCGTGAAATAATTAGCAATCGATTCAGATTCTTTCATATGAATTGCCTCGAATTCGCCTCTCAAGGTTTGAAGGTGATTCTTCTGAACTTTCTAAACTCCTTGATGTGTGTTTTGAAGAATCTCCCATGCCTCTTTAGCGGTAGTGGCGTTCGAAACTTTTTCGAGCATGGAATCATCTAACGCTTGATAGATGATCGACAGGGCATATTGATCTTTCGTTCGAACCTTCTCCAAAGCATTCCTCTGGTTCTGGTTCAACGTGGCTTCGTCCTCTGGCTCATCATAGCCAGTGTTAACAAATTCCCACACACTGTAGGCGCCGAGTAGAGCTTTCATTCTAACAGCCCAGTTACCATAATTTTCTTTGGTAAGACGAGGATATTGAAGAGGAAGCTAATTGTTCGTTGAGGCCATGATCACGAACCGTAGGCTCTGATACCAATTTGTTGAGCGTCAGAGGCGCGGCAACAATATTGATTTGATGAAAGGAATTTTTTAAGGTGAAACAATCGCAATTCACGTCTTTCTATTGCATGTCTCAATTACAAGAGAAATAGACTATATATAGACCATAGTTTGATTCGAAATAGGAAACCTCTTTCTAGGAAACCTATTCTAATTAGGAAACCTACTCAAAATAGGAAATCTAATTGATTTAAGAAACTTTCTTAAAATATAATTAGAAACAGTATCTCACAATATCTATCAAAATATGGAAATACGAACAGGCTCAAAAAGGAAACAACTACTAACAAATTTGGTTTAATTTCTAATAGATTTTACGTGCAAAGACCGCTTATAATGATTCGCAACTGAAAAGACGGAAAATGAGATCAACTCATATTGAGTATGTTGTTCAGCATTGTGAGACGTGTAGCAATAACAAATAATACAGGTTCTTCACCCAAATTAGCTTGGCCAAGCTAATATGGTAAGTAAAAAAGCACACAGGCGATCTCGATTTTATTTCAAAAGAAGTTTTACCAACGGAAGGGTCAAATCCGCGGTTTTTGAGCTCCCTATATTCTTGGCAAAGAGCACAGCAGGCGCAACACCAGTGCACGAGGCAATCGGCACACGGATCTTCTTGCAACGAGTGTAGACCCCTCAGTTTTGTCCGGTAACTGCACGAATATAGGCACGCGACGCCAAAGTAGGCGAGCAAGTAGTATATGAGCCCGCCCCCGCCACAAGCTGCAGACATATTGTTTTTTCACACATAAGTTCTCATTAGGCTTGAGGAACATTTTAATCGACTGTATAGGTACGACTGATCATGATTATGTAGAGAAGAACTGATAAATATGGTGTGTTTGAAACTTAAATTTGCACTTACAAGTGGCCCCTCTGTCTATGATTTCTGCGTTCTGGCCGAAGGTGATGCAGGGACAGCAACAAGTGATGACGCCTTTGTAAATGAATACAGAGATTAATTAGTTCATAAGGTGAAATTTTAGATGTTAATAAAAGGATGGATTGTTTATGTCGTGTAGGAGAACTCTAATGTTTCATCAGAATGATGATATATTTCTACTTGGTTCATCATATACGAAGGCGGAAAGCACTCACAGTTGGAGGGATCTTCGAAGCAACCGCAGAGACCCGTCGTCCACTGCCCCGGGACCGCCCCTGCCGGAGGGAATTGGGCCATCGGCATTGGCACTTGCATCACTGGCGGCGGAGGCGATTTTTGGTCATAGGCAGTCGCGTTATTCAGGCATATCTTCAGGTCTCAAAAACTGTTTCTGCCACAAAAGGAGAAGACGATCGAGAAGAGAAAGAACAGGAGAGGGAATCCTACATACACCAATGTGGTTTCCTTCAGACGTTATATAAGCGAAGACCTGGTTTAGCTCCTCAGAATTCTTCATGAGTGATTCAAGGAAAAGTTAATAAATCATATCACCTTTAGCCAATAATTTGAATGAAACGAACGACTATTTCTTCTCATTTAAAGTACTCCAAGTACAGCTGGATATGGCTGCAATCTCATCAGCAGCTATAAGAGAGAGAAAGAGAGAGCTGATTAGGTCCATGCATGGTTGTCAACTTGTCACGTAAAACATGAAAAGCACACCTCAAAGCCATGTTCGCGCGAGTTCGTGTTTGTTTACTCATTCTATGATCGTGCTTACAAACTTACAACATTGAGACATGCCGGTGATTTCGATCCGCAGAGTTTACTTGCGAGTTCGATTCAATGCTCAATATGTTGAACCTTGTTAATTTTTGTAATTTTTGTAATTTTTTTCGGAATTTTTAAAAAAAAAAATTTCTTTTCTTTTTTTGCCTTCTTCCTCCGTGGTCGCCGACCTCGTCGATGACTAGCGACCAGCCACAAGCGAGGGTTGACCTCGCCCGTTGAGCGAGGCTTGCCCTTGTAGGGGCGAGGTCACCTCGCCGATATTTGGCAAGGGTGGGTCGACCTTGCTCGAGACCGGTGAGGTCAACCTTTCCCGGCTATCACCTGTGGCCGGTAGCCGGCCATCGAGGAGGCTGTTGACCGCATAGGAAGAAAGAAAGGAAAAGAAAAGAAAAGAAAAGAAATATAAAAAATTTAAAAAAAGTTATCCATGTCAGCGCTGGCAGACAGCCGACATTCACGTTAGCGATTTCCAGCCAAAATTGGTCGGATGGACTACATTGCAAATCTTCAAAAAGTTTAGGACTAAATTGGCCAAATTGAAAAGTTTAAGACTGAATTGGTAAAAGTGTAATAGGTTTAGATTATCCCAAAAGTCACTACACACTCGATGCGTACTCACATGAATTTATTTGATCAAATTATCTAAGAGAATTGTAGCCATTTCATCATGTCGACCTATTGAACCGCATCCAACTCAAATGAGCATAGCTCTTAGGAAGAAGAGACAAAGCGAATCACTAAAGTATGGCCTCTCTCTTTTTCAGCCCTGAGGGAAAAGTTTGATACCGAGTCTTGTACCAACCCATCTTGGGTGGAGAAAACTCTAGCTTCCGTAGCAGGAGCACTTCGTTGGTTAAATGCCAATCGAATAATAAAAATGATCTCTTCTAAGATCGCTTCGACTGATCACTCTAAAAAGTAATTGTGCGCTTTAGAAGGCTTTTCCTTTCACAAAAGGGCAGTAGATGATACATTTTGATTGACACATAACCATCGATCGACGAAAATGAATTCCTTGTATGATCTTAGGAGCATTCCTGGGCCTGACAAAAATAGTTTTACCTCACGGCAGCGGAAGCAGATTCAGAGGTTGAATTTGTCTTTTTTGCCCAACCACTCCCTTATCCATTTTCATTATTTAGATTGTTTTGACAACGGTGTAGTGCCAAAAAAGACATGTCTTCCTCAAATGGATTAGACACTCATGTTTAGCACGCCCAAATTGTTCTCGATGAATTTTAAGACTTTAGCTTATTATCTGTAACTAGACTGGTTCTTGCTACTCCTTTTTCTTATCTTGCAATTGGATGCGCTATTTGATCCAATTCAACTGATCTACAATAGTCGGGCGCATGCTTTGGGTCCCTTAATGTTTAATCATTCCCTCTCTCCATCTAAGGAGCTAAGACTAATGCAATAAATAAGACTAAAGCCCTTATATTAATCATTTCAACACGACCGTGTATCGATGTGGTACTTGTTTGAGGAGTGCTTCCTCCCAAGCCAGTAGGCCGAATGGTGTATAAAAAAGAACCTTTCAACAAGGAGCTGGAGCCACTGAGCCTGTGTTACTAATTGGCTTGATAGTTCAAGTAGTAACGGTGGTCTTGAGTCCTTTTATTTGCCAATTCTTCATCTTCAAAGGTACGATGTGGTTGATTGCACTCTAGAGCCTTATAGAGATCCGAATGTTCTTGAAGCTACCGCACTTTGATTTCTGAGTTCCTCCATATCATGTCTCATTGATCTCTCACCGTAGCTCAGATTTCCCAAACGGCCTTTGAATGATGAGGAGCCATTGAACTAAAGCTCTAACATCCGATTTGAAACTATTGCCCAACTTCCAAGGTCAAGGTTATATCTTTTCTGGTATCGGATAGAATTTTGTGATGTGTCTCTTGAAATCTTCTTTTGCCTTGGATAGGTGGTGCTAGCATGCTCTTTCTCGGTGCGGAGAGCATCATATTTATCCAAATGCTTCTACTTCCTTCTCGTTGCCTGCATGAATTCTCTAGTTGGTTGAATTAGACTAAGTTTCGAGATGGAGAATAATGAAAAAGAAAACTGGTTAACATTTTATTAAGAACATAGGAAGGCTCTACTTGAAAGCCTTAATGTTGATATAGGCCATAGCCCTACTCAACTTCGACACTAGATATGGCAACTGAGGGTGATAGCCCTTTCTTGCGTAAAAGCGATTAGAATTCGAACACGTCGAGTTTTACTGGGAAGGATCGAACCATAGGAATGAATCTACAGGCTATCACCTTCTTTGGCCAGATCTTCCCACATTTTCACAATTATAGTTCACTGCACCTGCTCCTTTACCATTAGGAAAGAGCGGCAACTTGCGCGTTTATCCATCATCCAATCCACGAACGAAAACCAGTGAAAAAATAAAAAGAAGTGAACACTTTGCTAAGGACCAAAGCTTCGAGTTTGTTTTTCAGGCTTGCTCACCGAGAACGTAATCCTCAGGACAATTGAAAAACAGAACATAATTGACCAGTCGTAGAACACGACAAAAGTCAAGTGACAAACAGTTCGCCATCCTCCAATCAAGCAAAGCATCCTGTGTGAACGTCGCAATAATTACTGTACATGCATAAAACCCTAGGTCAACGTCAACCATACGGAGCAAGAACTTCCTCTTCGTTTGGTTAACGCATAACAAGTTTGAGTAATGATTAACATTTTGATACGCGTTTGGCTCCAGTCTTGATTCTTAAGACAACTGTTTATGCTTCTCTCTCAGCTCAGAGAGAGAGAGAGAGAGAGAGAGAGAGAGAGAGAGAGAGATGACTTTGACTTCGATCGTGCAAATTATTTTAGGTAGAGGAAGTCTCTTGACAACTAGCATGTATTCAATTAGTATAATATCTATACTAAATTGAATTTGGATGGTCAAATTTCATATAAATATCACGCATGACCCACAAAATCACGCGGTTTAGATTCGGTTTAATACGTGCAATGCACCGATCAAATACTTTCTTCCCGGCAGCATCCATTTCGGGCGGTATTCACCAAATCGTGTCTCTCAATTGATGCCTTTGACTCTCAGTTGGGCGAGGGATATGTAGGCTTAGCTTGATCTCATCTGATGACCCTAAAACAGATCATCAACATGGGTTCTACTTCTTCCTCTTCTGGTGATGTAAGTCCCTCAAGAAGGAGAAAAGGATAATGAAGCGTGATGGACTTGTAAATTAGCAATATATAGACATATGTTTACAATGAATCAATGAACAAGCACTGTGGACTTGTAAATCAGCCATAGCGATCATTCGAGCAGATTGAGTTTAGTGTCCTTCTCTTTTCTGTCCTAAATTCCAGAAGCAGGTGGGACCGAGATCTCGTCGAGCTTTAGAACGAAACGAACGTCCTATTTCCAATAATACGAGAGACATAAACTTAATTTGACCCTCGTTTCGGATAAAAAAAACAGCATATTCTCCTTTGTTTAATTATCGGCATAATTAAGTGCAAATACACGGTTGCTAGCCATCTAATTAGAATCAAGGGGCGGGAACAGTCTGTTTTCAGACTGAAGGAATGCAACCCACTTGATCTAAGTGTTCAATGATCAAAAGTTCTCTCTCCTGTTTCGATTTTATAGGGTTCATGAGCATCCATATCTCTCTCTCTCTCTCATCAATTATCAAAGCATCAATATCATCAAGGGGCGCTCGATCCGTCTTGTAACCCTAAATGCTATCGCCATCATCGGGATTCACATTCACTACAGACACAGATTCATATATAGAGGGACCATTTCCTCCGGAGAAATAAAGAAAACAGGTAACAAGTTTCGGAAAGATTAAGATATTAATTCCACGAAGAGAGCAATCCCCAATAAAAACACATTGTTGGACCTTGCCAAAGCTAACCAAAATTCCATGAAATTCCACATTATTCAGCCTACGTGGATCCATGATCCGCGAATATATATATTCATTCCTATTTTTGGCAGACAGAAGGAAGTGACACCCGGGGTTGGGGCCGTGCGAGCGGTGTACTAGCATACTCACGCGCTGTCGTTTCGGTCAAAGTAAACGGTCGAATGATCAGTACAATCAGATCAGATTAGTCCGTAATTGCGGCAAGACTCTTGACTTCGCTACCTCCCAAAGCAGCAGTGTCATTCCCTCTCAAAAGTCGACGTCAACTCCTCCATCTCTCTCTCTCTCTCTCTCTCTAATATTTTCTCGCCTGCTACAGCTTGTATGTCTGGAAGTGAGAATGATTGTCAATCTTAGCAAGATCAGCTCTCGCTATTTAAGAGCTCTCACTCCACCCTCATGCATTTGTATATTCTCCACTAGTCTCTCTCTCTCTCTCTCTCTCTCTCTCTCTCTCTCTCTCTCTCTCTCGATCGAGTTTGCTCCAATGGGAAACCCTGAAGCAGACTCTTCTAATATCCACCAAGACCAAGCAGATTACAATGTCCAAATTCAGTATAACGTCCAGGTATCATACGATGATAACAGCAATGACCCGGCTTACTGCGATCTGAACCCGCAACCTGACCAGTCGTATCAGCACCTCCAATTGGGCGACGACAACGGCCCGAATCCACGATACCAGCAAAATGATGCTGCAAATAACCAGCAGCAGCAACAGTTCCAACCACCACTGCTGCAACAGCAACAGTTCCAACCACCTCAGCAGCAGCAGTTTGGCGATGCGCAGAATGCGCCGCCGCCGCCGCAATTCAACCAGCCCTATGCTGCGGCACCGCCCCCTCGGCCTGTGGCGCAGTTCCCGCCACAAAGCCCTCAAATGAACCCAGCCAATGCAAATCACGGGGCTTATCCGCCACAGCAGCAGCCATACTACCCTCCAACGGCGGCGGCACCTCAACAGCAACCACAATATGCTCAACAGAGCGCACCCCAGGCTTACCCTCCGAACTCGCCACCACCAAAGCCGTATCCTCCTTCGCCAGCTTATCAACAACATCCGGCGGCTCAGCCTGTGCAGTTCCCACCGCCGGCAGGTGGAGAAGCGCAGTATGCCACGGTGCCGCCTTTGCTGATCAAGCCGGCATTCCAGGGGTACAACAGTGCAGCTCAGGGCATTCCAATGCAGGCGAACATGATGGGGAGCGTCAACACCGAAGGATGGAGGACGGGGCTGTTTGATTGCATGGACGATCCCATGAACGGTAATATCATCATACGAATTTACCAAAGATATGATATGACCATTTTTTCATAGTGTCTTATATCCAAATCGGGTTATTTTTGTGGACATGCATGGTTGTACTACTTTTGTAGGCGCGTCACGATGACACCAATTAGCCAAAGCCAAATCGTTTTATAAATCACAAGATTGTTACAGGGAGGTTGATAAGTAAGACAAATTAGCTTAATACGGATGTTCGTGATATCTCATATGGCTTCCCACTCTTTAGGTTCTTTTTGAGTATTGACTAACTGAGTTTTACGTGGCTATATCAATATATATTACCTATGATCAGATCAAGATAAAGTTTCTAATGTGCATTATGTCCCTCATGTTTCAGCTGCTACAACGTTGTTCTTCCCATGCTTGACGTTCGGCCAGGTTGCAGAGATCATCGACAACGGCACGACCTGTGAGTGAAAAAAGAACAGAAAGAAACAATTGACCATGTCTTGACCAAAATCATTTGCATATTTATATTTTTTATGTGTTATGATGATCATAGCCTGTGCGATGGGTGGAATGATGTACGGGCTGATCGGCGCCTTACTTTGGATGCCATGCATCTACTCATGCACGTACCGATCGAAGCTCAGGAGCAAGTTTGGGCTGGTGGAGTCGCCTGCTCCGGATTGGATCGTCCACTTCCTGTTCGAGCCCTGTGCTCTTTGCCAAGAGTACAGAGAACTTAACCGCCGAGGCTGGGACCCCGCCATTGGTAAATTGATTACTTGTTCCTAGAGTTAACTTGTATATGATAATAATACAAAGGATTCTTATTTAGCAAGGTATACGAGAACGAACCAGTTGAACAAACATTCAAAGTTGAAAAGAGTTTAGACATATCTCATGTCCAGTTGAAGAATTGTGCGATTCATTCGATTGTTTCACTTTTGGACAGGATGGTTGGGCAACGTTCAAAAACAACAGCAGATGCAGCAGCAGCCACAGGTTGCTACGACGCCCCCCGTGAATCAAACAATGATGGCTTGACGAGTTGTGATGTTTTAAAAATGTTCATGCCCAAAATTCTTGGGTCATCTTTTGAGTTCCTTTGATTTTAAGGTTGTCCTACCCAAAAAAAATGTTGCTGAGAATTGTAGTGGGATCATTTCTTGTTCTAAAGTATGGTATGCCATTGTAATGGAATGGTTGAATTAACAGGTTATAATTGTTTCTCTGTTTGTCAACATTGGCAACAAATTGCCATATCTTGAATAATGCTAAGTAAATTTCTCTATGGCAAAGTAATTTCCCTTTTATCACGTGTTTATCAATACATTAAAATTTGTAGATTTCTAATTGGCCTTGGAAAGTCAATTGATGATGACTGTAGTTTTTTTTGTTGGTCGAAGGAAGATTCATTTCATTCATTCAATGATAATACGTAGTGAACAACGATAGCATGATTCAAAACATAAGAGGTCCCATAAAGGTTGGGGGGTTTGGAGAGCCAATTAGAGGGAAGATTCCCGTTTCAGTGGGCTTTGGATACCCAATCTACCACTTGATTAGCATCACGAGGACAGTGGGCCAGAGACACCTCTTTTTGCTGGGCTAAAAGAGTCTTGCGCTCCATAAATAGCTGCCGAAGGGCCCATGGGCTTTGGTCTACGTCTGATAAGTTGACTACAACTGATAGGCTATCATTTTGCACGATGATGCTCAGATCAGTTCGGGGATCTTGAGTTCGTGCCTCCAGTAGAGATGACAGGGCATGCTTCACCGCTAGGGTTTCTAGTTCCAGAAATGAAGAAGCTCTCTCCTTGAAGGCGATGACTATAGTTAATCAATTACATTTGGTTACAATTTGAATCTACCAAAGGGAAGACCTTCAAAGCATGGAGCGACAAATTAATGGGCCAAACTTTTTGTGGTCGCGCCAATATGTGCTAAGTTGCTAAGGCTAAGAAGCCTCCGAACAATGTCTTTGAACATAGACCTACCATTGGTGACTGAACAACTACGTTTGAATACTCTGTCCTATCGTGACTTTTTCAAAGGTAAACCACTGAGGGAAAACTAATGGATTATTAGGCAAGTACGAATGGTTAGTTATTAAAAAGACGGTACCGTCACCTAGCTGCAAACCCTCCCAAATCTATACCAATTGCAACATTATGGTTTCAATTATATCATATATACATACAAACCAACTCATTCAAGAGTCGTCACTAATCTACAAATCTACTGCAGGTCGATTAGAAACTCAAGTAATACTTCTGCGAACAAGAGATTTCATGAATATAGAGACTTGATTACGCTCGATAAATCTAATGGCACTTCGGTACTTTTCTCTGTATTTCAAAACTAGTTTGCGAGCGGTCTTGCTCAAGTTTAATCCTAAGCCACTAACATGCAATGGGTAATCATGCTGATAATGAAGCATGATGGACTTGTAAATTAGCAATGTATAGACATATGTTTACAATGAATCAATGAACAAGCACTGTGGAATTCCTCTTTTATTCCTACGAGGATTTCTTCAATCAGCCATAGTGATCATTCGAGCAAATTGAGTTTAGTTTCGTTCTCTTTCCTGTCGGAAATTCCAAAAGCAGGTAAGACTGAGATCTCGTCGAGTTTTAGAACAAAACAAACATCCCATTTTCAGTAAAACGAAATTTAAACATATTTTGATCCTTGTTCGAATAGAAACAGCGTATTCTCATTCGCTTAATCATCGACATAATTAAGTGCAAATACACACATGCTGGCCATCTAACTAGAACCAAGGGGCGTGGATAGTCTATTTTTAGACTGAAGGAAAGAAACCCACTTGATTAATTAGGGCACGGTTTGTTTCAGGAAGAATGAATGATTTGGAAAATATTTTTCTAAAAATAATCGTTTATATTGCTTGAAATAATTAATCATTGGAAAATATTTTCATTATCGACAACAATCTATGTCTAAACATTTTCATTGACGATGAAAATATTTTTTATTCATTCATTTTTTTAAGCAATACAAGCGATTATGTTTAGGAAAATATTTTCCAAATCATCCATTTTCCGCGAAACAAACAGAGCTAAAGTGTTCAATGATCAAAAGTTCTCTCTCCTGTTTTGATTTTCTTGGGTTCATGAGTATCCATCTCTCTCTGTGTAGAGAGATGGCGAGGTCTTTATTTGATGAATTAACAAAGCATCAATATCATCAAGGGATGCTGGATCCGTATTTTAACCCTAAATGCTATAGCCATCATCATGATTTACATCGCACACACAGATTTATATATAGAGGAACCATTTCGTCAGGAGAAACAAAGAAACTAGGTACTGATTGGTAAAGATTAAGATATCAATTCAACAAAGCGAGCAATCCCCAATAAATGACACATCGTTGGACCTTATCAAAGCTAATTAAAACTCCATGAAATTCCACATTATTCAGCCTACGCAGATGCATGATCCGAATCGATGTTCTCGTATTGGATTTGACTTATATATGAGGTTGAGGCCGTGCAAGCCGAATCGATGTTCTCAAATTGGATTCCATATGTATATTAAGGAAGTGGCACATAGGATTAGGGCCGTGCGAGCTGAATCGATGTTCTCCCATTGGATTCGATATATACACGGGGTTAGGGCCATGCGAGCCGAATCGATATACTATAGTCTGTAATTGCGCAAAGACTCTTCACTTCTCTGCCTCCCAAAGCAGCAGCAGTATCATTCCCTCTCAAAAGTCAACGTCAACGTCAGCTCCTCTCTCTTTCTCTCTAAAGCTTGCGTACTTCAACTTGTATATCTTATATACGAAGTGAGAATGATTCTCTATCTTAGCGCGTCCAGCTCTCACTATAAAAGAGCTCTCTCTCCACCCTCGTGCATTTGTATATTCGCCACTAGTCGAGCTTGCTCCAATGGGAAACTGTTGAAGTTTAGCAGGATCAAACACATAAATAATAACTCAAGGAAATAACGTGGTTCAGCAATATGCCTACATCCACGGACAAAAAACTCCCCCTCTCTTCTTTTTTTTTCGTAGAGAGTAGGTCTGCCATTATTCATCATATATACAGCATACGGTTGCTTACAACAAGGCAACAGGCAACCATTTTACATAAGGAAGGAAACACTAGAAATAGGAAACAAGAATAATGTAATAGCGAAAATATCTCCATTCCAAGAATAGGAGACAAAAATCTTGCCAACACTCCCCCTCAAGTTGGGGCGAAGACTTCGTCGGAGGTCAACTTGTCCACCACAGTTTGGAAAACTCCTTTTGATAACGCTTTGGTGAAGACATCTGCAAGCTGATCCTCACTACGAATGTACAAAGTCTCAATTGTTTTATCCTGAACCTTCTCTCTCACAAAGTGACAATCTACGTCTATGTGTTTGGTTCTCTCATGAAAGACCGGATTTGAAGCAATGTGAGTTGCAGCTTGATTATCACAAAACAGCTTTGTAGGTGTAGCTGTAGGCTTACATCCCAATTCTTGAAGTAAAAAACACAGCCACACAATTTCACTAGTAGTGGTGGCCATAGCGCGATACTCGGCTTCTGCGCTTGAACGTGCAACAACCGTTTGTTTTTTGCTCTTCCAAGTGACAATATTACCACCAACAAACGTGCAGAAACCAGTTGTGGATTTTCTATCCACCGGACTTCCAGCCCAATCTGCATCAGTGTAACCCTCTATATCTGTGTGACCATTGTTCTTCATCAAGATTCCCCTTCCTGGTGAAGCTTTCAAATACCGAAGAAGATGATCCACCAATCCCATGTGACCTTCAGTGGGATTATGCATAAATTGGCTCACATAACTAACAACATATGCAATATCGGGTCTAGTGATAGTTAAATAAATCAAGCGTCCTACTAAACGCTGAAACTGACCAACATCCTGCAGTGGTACACTGTTAGAAACAACTTTGCTGTTATACTCCATAGGGACACTTGCAGGTTTAACTCCCAACTTACCAGTCTCTTTTAATAAATCAAGAACATACTTTCTCTGGGATAAAAACAGTCCTTTGCAAGAATGTGCCAATTCAATGCCCAAAAAATAACGCAAACTACCAAGGTTTTTGATATCAAATTCCTTGCTCAAATGACGCTTGAGTGCTTCAATCCCAGGTTGGTTACTACCTGTAATGACCAAATCATCAACATACACAAGAATAATAACAATACCCTGATCATTTGACTTAGTGAACATAGAGGAATCAGAAGCACCTCTCTTGAACCCGAATCTGATAAGTACTACACTAAGCTTGCCATACCAAGCTCTAGGTGACTGTTTAAGGCCATAGATAGCTTTCTTCAGTTTACAAAGAGTTCCATCCTTACCCTGTAATGAATGCCCCGGTGGTAAATCCATGTAGACTTCTTCTTCTAAGTCCCCATGTAAAAAGGCATTCTTCACATCCATTTGGAACAAAGGCCATCCATGATTAACTGCTACGGACATAAGTACACGCACTGTATTCATCTTAACCACCGGAGCAAATGTTTCTTTATAGTCTATGCCGTAGGTTTCGGTGTACCCTTTGGCGACAAGTATAGCTTTGTACCTCTCAACCGTGCCATCATTATTATATTTGATCTTATAAATCCATCTACATCCCACTGTCTTTTTTTCTCTTGGCAGCTGTACCAACTCCCAAGTCTGGTTCCGATTCAGTGCCTCAATCTCATCTTTCATTGCTTTAATCCACACGCTTTTCTTATTTGCTTCCTCAAAACTGTTAGGCTCCTGTTGTTCTTCAATGGCAAACAGAAAACTCAAATAACTGTAAGACACTTTGTCATATCCAACAAAATCCTGAATGGGGTGTTGAATTGTATGAAAGGTAGAAAAATCCCGAAGACGGGTTGAAGGTCTAGGGATACGAGTTGACCTGCGAACAGAAATAGGTGCGTGAACCTCTGCTGTTGAAGTCTCATTTATCAACTCTTCACCTGCAGCTTCAGAATTTTCACCAGGTGTTGACACACTTGATTCTGATGACGAGTGCCTAATACCTCCAACCTCCTGACTTTCGGTAACAGTCCCATCCCCTTGGTGATTTTCCGCAACAGTCCCAGTTTCAACATCCTGATTTTTGGGTTTATTTTCGATGTTGCCAACCACTATAGGGATAGGAACGGGCTCAAATTCGGTAGAAAAGTCTTGATAGTTGTCCTCCCCCTGAATTTGAGCCCTGTTGGAAAAAAACATGTGG